GACAGGGAATTTGCTAGGACTGGGCCTTCTAGACCGAGAGCTTTGGTGGTAGAGGTGTGGCCAGCGTGGCTGGAGCTTGGATTCCGCTCTGTGTTGATGGTGTTAACGTGATTCCTTTGGTTTAGTCGGCTCACTTTTCTACTTCAGACTTTTCATACCCACCCTTTCATCTTCACTGTCTGTCACTTTGCCTCATACTTTATTAAGAAAACAGCAGCCATTAAACCCAAACTCTGTTACCTAGTCCGAGATCCATAGAACTATCTAGAACTGCACCCAGCTGACTCTCTTCCTTCCCTTGAATCTCATCTTTTGTTGCCTTCTCAAGATCTCTGTCCTTTCTCCTGGTTCATCACCATCAACAGGCAGACACGCTATGACAGATTAATCTTAAGTCAGATCCTCCTTGAAATTCTGACATGTGCTATAACACAAGGATGTTACACTAAGTGACAGCAAGCAGTCACACAAAGGCAAATATGTGATTCCACCTGTGTGATACTTAGAATAGTCACATGCATTGAACAGAAGAATGGTAGTTTGCTGGGAGTTGGGGAAGGGGACAAGGGGGTGTTTTAGAGTTTATTGGGTACAGAGTTTCAGTTTTATGAGATGCAGAAATTACAGAGATAGATGGTGGTCATGGTTGTGTAATATAATTAACATTTAATGCTACTCATCTGCTCATTTAAAAATGGTTAGGGTGGTATTTTTGTGGTATGAATTTTAATATAATAAAAAATGGAAAAAGATGTTTAAAAAGTTACAAAACTTTCATATGCCCACACCCAGAAGGGAAGCTACAGTTTTTTCAGATAGGAGTCAGAATAAAGATGTCCTTTGTATCTCACCCCCAGAAAGCCAAGCCTATCTTTTTTTTTTTTTTTTTTTTTGACAGGGTTAGAGAGAGAGACAGAGAGAAAGGTCTTCCTTCCATTGGTTCACCCCCCAAATGGTTGCTATGGCTGGCGCGCTGCACTGATCCGAAGCCAGGAGCCAGGTGCTTCCTCCTGGTCTCCCATGTGGGTGCAGGGCCCAAGCACTTGGGCCATCCTCCACTGCCTCCCCGGGCCACAGCAGAGTTGGACTGGAAGAGAAGCAACCAGGACAGAATCCGGCGCCCCAACCGGGACTAGAACCTGGGGTACTGGCGCTGCAGGCAGAGGATTAGCCAAGTGAGCTGCGGTGCAGGCCGCCAAGCCTGTCTTGATACCACACTCCCTTCCAGAGACCACCCCATTTCACTGTTCCCCTGAAAGTAACCCCTCAGAAGAGCCACGTGGCCTCCCTTTGCTCTCCTACTCCATCTTCAGCTCACTGTGATCTGACTTGCACCCGTCATCACATGGAGCTGCTCCATCTGGGTCCTCTGTCCTCTCGTGTCGCTCCGTCCAGTGGGTGCTGGGCCTCTTGGAAACCCTTGCTGCTTCACTCCTTCCCCGACACCTTCTGGCTGCACAGCTCCTGTGGCACCGGGCCATCCCAGTTTCTCCTGCATCACTAGCTGCTGCTTCCTTGTGTTCCAGACCACCAAAGAACGTGGCTCCAGAGGCGTTGTCCTGGTCTGTCTTTTCTGTGATTCCCTCATGGTCCAGTCCCTTGGGCTTGCATACAGCCAGCGTGTGCCAGTGTGTGCCAGCATGTGTCCACCTGCCACCTTGTCTCACAAACAGCTCGTGTGTAATGTACCAGAAACAAGCTGGTTCCCCTCCACTTCCCCCACAGCCGCCCCCGGCCCCCACTTACTCAGGCGACACACGCCTGACTCATCCTTACTTTTATTCTCCCTTATATGAGGGCACCTCAAGAAGTTTGTGGGAAAATGGAATTAAAAGATGTTTATTTTGGTGGAAAGACTTTGCGAAATTCTTGTGCAGTATTTTCATAGTACACATTTCCCACAAGCCTTCTGCAGACCTCTCGTGTCTTCCCTCAGCAGCAGGGCCTGTGTGCTCTGTTTTGAGTCACTTCCTGCTCCCCACCCCCATGGCTGGACTGCCGCCCAAATCCAGACCCCCTCCCATCAGGTCCAGTCTTGTACACTTGTTCATTCTGTACACTTGTAAGAATAAGCACAGACCAAACTTTTTCACTTCTCTGTTACTGTTCCTGTGAAGTCCCCAGCTCCCTGCATTATGGCATTCCCACCTGGTTCTCTAATTTATCTCCTGTCACTGTCCCCCCACTGACTGCATTCTGACGCTGCTCTTCCTTTGCTTTAACACTCCAGGCTCTTTCATCCCTCAGGATCTTTGCAGTGGCTTAGCTTTAGTGCACTTGCTCAGAGGGAACAGTCCCTCGCTGGCCGGGTAAAGTAGGTTCCTCTCTTTATTTGCTTCCTTCAGTTTGCTTGCTGTGATGTGCAGTTCTTCTGTGTCTTTTCTTCGGTTTACCCTCTAGTGGAAGAGTGGGTCTGACTTCTTTACCTTGGTGTCGTGGAGCATGCATTCATTATTCATCATGGCCTGGAGCAGTCATTCAATATTTATGAAATGAGGAAAAGAAGGAAAGGAAAAGGAGAAATGGATGGGGATGGTGTGTGGGGGGGAGGGCAGGAGGAAGGAAAAGAATAGACAGAGAAAAAAAAATGCTTATTGAGCAGCAGCTGCCTTCCCATGTCCCAGGGGTCCCAGGTCCAGTCTGCCATCATCAGTGTGCTTGTGGTTGGACAGAGGGATAGCCTGACCACCTAAGGGGAGCACCTCCTCCTCAGAGCCCTGGGGTTTTTATCCAAACCTAACCTCCAGACTCGGGAGTGCCTAGGGGGACTAAATGCTGCAGTCAGGGACGCCCTCCACCTTCTTCCTTACTTCCCCACTGTGTGCTGAATGGAGGCACCGGCTCAGAAACCCAGCACTAGTGGCTTCTGGGATTCCAGCCCAGGCCTTTGCGGCGATAAAGGCTGTATTTCTTCCGCATCAGGATATTTTCTGTAGTTGTTTCCTAAGCAGACAACTAATGGCAGGTGGTTGTTGAATTCTTATCTTGTATTACAAGAAAAAAAAAATCTGTGAGTCCGACCTCTGCTTTCTCCCTGCTCCTGTATAGCCCCCTCTGTTCCCCCTCATCCTGTGCCTGGACTACCGCTGTGGCTCCTTGCTGATCTCCCTGCCTCTGCTTGCCCACTACAGGCCATTTTCCACCTGGCAGCCTGATTTATTTTTTTAAAAAAAGATTTATTTATCTGAAAGACCGTGTGACCAAAAGTGGGAGAAACAGAAAGAGAGATCTTCGTCTGCTGGTTTACTTTCCAAATGCCTACAACAGCCTGGGTTGAGCCAGCTTGGAGCCAGGAGCCAGGAACTCCGCCTGGGTCTCCCGAACATATAAGTTGGATGATGCCCTCTCCAGCTCACACCCTACCATTCTTCCCATTATATATAAAATAAAATTGACCTATAAAACTCTCCCTTCTTTGACATTAAATCCTTCTACTCTGTTCCAGCTGTATTGGCCTTCTTATTAAATGGGGGGGTCTTCAAAAAGTTTATGGAAAATGCATATTATGAAAAAAACTTTACATGAATTTAAAATTTTTTTGCATCAAAATAAACATTTTTCAACTTGATTTTGCCATGAGCTTAAGAATTATTTTTTGGGGGCTGGCACTGTGGCATAGTAGGTTAATCCTCTGCCTGTGGCACCACATCTCATATGGGCGCCGGTTCTAGTCCCGGCTGCTCCTGTTCAGATCCAGCTCTCTGCTATGGCCTGGGAAAGCAGCAGCAGATGGCCCAAGTGCTTGGGCCCCTGCACTCACATGAGAGACCCAGAGGAGGCTCCTGGCTCCTGGCTTCAGATCGGCCTAGTTCTGGCCATTGCGGCCATTTGGAGAGTGAACCAGTGGATGGAAGACCTCTCTCTCTCTGTCTCTCCCTCTCACTGTCTATAACTATCTGTCAAATAAATAAATAAAATTTAAAAAAACAATTATTTTTTCATTTATTTGCAAGACGGAGACAGAGATCTTCTATCCATTGCTCCCTTCCCAAATGCCCACAATAGCTGCTCCCAGATCAGGCCAAAGCCAGGAACCAGAAACTCAGTCTGGGTCTTCTGTGTGAATAGTAGGGACCCACACACTTGGGCCATTACCTGCCGTTTCCCAGGGTGTGCACCAGCCAGAAGCTAGACTCACAAGTGAAGGTGGGACTGGAACCCGGAGACTCTGATGTGGTATGTAGGCATCCCAAGCCAGGGTCCCAGTGCAACAAATGCTTGCCCCTCCATGAACTTTTGGAAGTATTTGCATATTTCCCATAACTACCAATCTAGCTTTTTTTTTTTTTTTTGTATAAGGATTTATTTGTTTGAAAGGCTGAGTGACAGGGAGAGGGAGAGAGCCATCTTCCTGTTGTCTTCCTAGGTGCTGGTTCGTGTACCAACTGTTCTGCTTCAGATTAAGCTTCCTGCTAAGTGCTTGGGAAAGCAATGGAAGATGGCTCAAGTGCTTGAGCCTCTGTACCCGTGTGGGAGACCAGGATGGATCTCCTGGCTCCTGGCTTTGGCCTTGCCCAGCCCTGGCCCATTGCAGCCACTTAGGGAATGAAACCGTGTATGAAAGATCTCTTTGTCTCTGTCCCTCTCTGTCATTCTGCCTTTCAAATAAATAAAATAAATAAAAATAATATACCCAACACATATAAATATACTCTCTTCATCTCCTTAACCTGCCTTATTTTTTCATAGTAGTCATAGTCTTTATTTTTTGCTTGTTAATCGTCTCTTTCCACTAGCATGTAATTTCCTGAGGGTAGCTTCTTCGGTTTATTGTACTTTCATAAATAATGCCTAGCATCTAATGAGTACTCAATATTTTTGGAGGAAAAAATGCTTCAAATAAGAATTATCTTCTTCAGATAAGAATTATTCTTCAGATATTCTTCAGATAAGAATTAAAACATTGTTATTCTTAGGATTTTTGAAAATTACTAGTGTATAAATGTTGAAAAACCTATACCCAAGCGACTCCACAAATTAAAATTGATTCTTTTCTCCAGTTCTTTCAGAACCCATCAAATTGAGGCTGCTCCAACCAGCTCTGCAGGTGATGGATTTAAGGCAAATCTTGTCTTTAAGGAGATTGAAAAGAAGCTTGAAGAGGTAAGATTTATGTGAAATATTACTGGGAGGGCCCTGAGGGTAGAGGAATTAGACACAGGTTTGAGGTGCTGATAGAAGGAAGTGGTACAAGTTCTTGGCTCCTGGCTTTGGCTCGGCCCAGCTCTTGTTCTTATGGCCATTTGGGGAATGAACCAGCAGATGGAAGATCGCTGTCTCTGTCTCTTCCCCCCTCTCTCTGACTTTCAAATAAATAAATCTTAAAAAATTATTTAATGTATTTAAAAGAGTGTCAGAGAAGGAGAGGCAGAGAAAGAAAACGAGAGAGATTTTCCATCTGCTGGTTCACTCCCCAAATGGCCTATTGGGCTGGGGCTAGGACTGAGCCAGGCTAAAGTTAGGAGCCTAGAATCCCATCTAGGTCACTCACGTGGGTGGCAGGGTCCCAAGCACGTGGGCCATCTTCTGCTTTCTCAGGCACATTAGCAGGGAGCTGGATTGGAAGCGAAGCAGCTGGGACTTAAATGAGTGCTCTAATACGGTGTGCTGGTGTCATAGGCCGAGGCTTAACCTACTGTACCATAATGCCAGCCCCACTCTTCCCAAGTTCTGTCACTTAAGTTCACTAAAATGTTAACAGTGGTTAACACATCTCCCTCTGTGTATGTAAACTTACAGTTAGGTTTTTAAAGTATACTATATATACAGATCTGTTTTTGTGTACAGTAGATTGTTCGTGATAGATAATAATCACTAAAGCAATCTAAGAGTAACTCTCCAAAAAGACAGTTATTCTCTTTTGGTAAAATTGGATTTTATTTTATTTCAAGTTTAGAAGCAAGGTGAGATATCATTATTGACATTAGATTTGAGACCATGTAAGGCAAGGGTTTAGCCTTAAGCACGATTGTCATCATATATGTCTGTTGTGGTGACCAAAGTCACCACAAATAATAAAAAGGATTCAGAGCATTTGTGAAACGCAGGTAAACTGTGTGCATATTTCATAATTCCCTTTCTGAAAATCAAAGGACTTGTTAACATCCAAGAGGAAAACAGCTGATGTGGCTGCTGTGTCTTGTGAAAGAGCCATCTCTTCCAGGAGTTTCTTAGTGTTCAGCTGCCTTGCTGAGGTAGAACAGGGCCCGCCAGAGAGCTCCCCCTGCGGCTGCAGCTGCAGCCTGGCATGGCCCTAGAGCTGTCTGCTCTCCACATCACCTGCAAGCCCTTTTCTCTCAACAAGTGTTCCATGGCCATACACATAAATCCTTACTATCATTTTTAATACATGGTGCACTTGGGCCGGTGCTGTGGCGTAGCAAATTAAGAAAGCCAGCACCTGCAGTGCCAGCATCTCGTGTGGGCACTGGTTTGAGTTTCAGTTGCTCCACTTGCAATCTAGCTCCCTGCTGATGTGCTTGCTATGAAGGCACTGGAAGATGGTCCAAGTCCTTTGGCCCCTGCACCCACGTGGGAGACCCTGATGAAGCTTCTGGCTTTGGCTTGGCCCTGCCTGGCCTTTCAGCCATTTGGGGAGTGAACCAATATATAGAAGACCTCTCTCTGTCTGTGCCTCTGCCTCTCTGTAACTCTGATTTTCAAATAAATAAGCCTTAAAAAAAAATACATGGTACATTCATGTATAGGTATCACAATATATTTAACTGGCCTCCTCTGTGTTGAATATCAGGTTGTATTTAAGTTTTGCAAGTAAAACATTGTGTTAAATTTCCTTTTGTACTCATCTTTAAGTACTTAGTATAAACAGTAACGGGACGGGGGGTAGATTGCTGGGTGGGTTAGATCTGTACATTTTGCATTTTAGTACATATTGCCAAACTACCCATCAGAAAGAGGATGAAGATTTACAGACCTACTGACAATTAATGAAAGTAACCATTTTTTTCTTCACATCTTCTCTGATACTCTGTTGGCTGGTTTTTAAAGTCTTTGCAAAATCTAGTAGAAAAAAAAAAACTCACTGCTTTTTAAGTTTTTTCCCTACAATTATCCACTGTAATGTGAAGTTGGAACTCTATAAAGGCTTAGTTTAAAAATTTTCTTTTTCATGCTGCCAATATTTACCTGCAGAGAAACCCATACAATAGTTATTTCTGTCAAGTTACTCCATTTTTAAAGCCCTGTTCCACAAAAAACATCATTTAAAAATGAGCCTGTGAGGCGTGAAATATGGCTGTGTGTGTTAGTCACCGACTGCTTCACTGTTGGGGTCAGCAAGCAGTGCTGCTCTCATTTTGCGCGTATTATTGTAGCTTTGCAAGCAGATACCACTTTAATTCTTTCCTCTTCCATAATCTCACCCACATGGACCTTGTCCTGTTTTTCTTTTCTCCTTCCCACGATTGTCATTTTCCTAAGTGAGTACTAGAAAGTGAAAGTCTTGGAATCTTTTGTCAATTCATACATTTTCTGCATTAGCAAAGGCAGCCTGGCGAGAGATTTTATTTCTACTTTCGTCTTTGTTAGCACTACTCCATTGCCCTTCTTTGAATTCTGTCTTAATTTTCTTGTCCCTATTAAGTTTACTATAGGGCCTACTCCTTGACCTTTTGCCTACTCAGAAAGAAGTACTTTTCTTCAGGCTAGGAAGCACTTAGAACCTTCTTAAATGATCTCCAGTTTCACGGCCGTTTTCTTTTCCCTTTTAACTCTCTCCCCTCCTTATGTCCCTTACCTACTCTGAGTCCTGATTCAGGTAAAAAGTATATTTTTGACCAAAGGATATGATTTTTTTTTTTTTTGAGTTTTGCTTTTTCATTTGAATGGCAGAGTGACAGGGGGAGAGAGAGAGAGAGAATGAACGAACGAACGAACGAACGAACTTCTATCCTCTGGTTCACTCCCAGATGACCAGGCTGAAACCAGGAGCCAGAAGCCAGGAGCCAGAAACTTCATCTGGGTCTCCCACATGGGTCGCAAAAGCCCACGCACGGGGGCCATCTTCGCTGCCTTCCCAGGCACATTAGCAGGAAGCTGGATCAGAAGCAGAGCAGCCAGGTCTTGAACTGGCACCCCGAAATGGGATCCTGGCATTGCAAGCTGCAGCCTCACCTGCTGGGCCACAATCCCAGCCCCAGGATGTGATTTTGTAAGAGTAAACTGATTCTCCAAAAATAACAGCAAGTGCAAATTAATGCATCTTTCTTAAGGAGCTGAGAGGATAAGTAGTAAGATTGCGGGAATTTCTCTTCAAGCATGTAGATAGAATTTCTAAGTGTTTTCCTGTGCGAACTTGTTGCTGCCTACTCTTAGCTGAATTCCTGGGGCACTGTGTGAGCAGATGACGTGGATGTATTTGGAAGCAGTCATTCATGGCCTCTGGCCCCAGAGCAATCCTGGCTCCTGGATGGCTTAACACAAAAATATGTTTAACTTCTCTCTCAGATCAGCTCTGCAGGACCTTGAGAAAGAAGAGATTTCAAAGAATGTGGAAAAGACTTTGAAACTGTTTTGATTCACTTCATGTTGGTAGATACTGCTCTACTGGCATGAAGTTTGGGAATCTTACAGTTACAGATAGTATGATCAAATGGAAAGAGTGTTGAATTTGGGATTGAACCAACGTGGAATTGAGTTCTGCTTTTATTACTTACTAACTGTATGTCTTAGCCCTCAGGGAACATAGAATTTAGTAAGAAGAGAGATGTGAAAAAATTTCTCAGAAGAATGTTCCTGCCTTAAAGAGAAACGTGGGTGCCTGTACAGAGGGCCATTGAAGTATCTGGTAGAGATAGGGAAGCCTTTGTGGAAGAGTTAGCTTGTTAGCCAAGACTTGAATGTTGAGGTCACAGGTGGGAGTGGAGAATAGGAGGAGGTGAGTAGGGCATGGGAATGTCAATCAACTTGGCACCGTGTTTGTGGAGTAAAGATGACCTGTATTGTTAGGACCTAAGGCCTGAGTAGGACGAGAAGGGGGTTGGAGATAAGAACAGGTAAATATCATTCATAGCGTGAAGATTCTCGAATGATATATATAAAGACGGCCTTTGTCCTGTTTACCATAGGGAGCCATTTAAGAAATTCAAGTCTAAAGGTGCTAGTTGGGTCACATTGATGTGCATGAGCCACTTCGGTGTGGATGGACACATTAGTTTGGATGAGCCACGTTGGTGTGCATGGGTCATATTGTTGTGGGTAAGCCATGCTGGTATGAGTGGGTCAAGTTGGTGTGGGTGGGTTATGTCAGGCTCCTTGGCTGCAGTGTTGAGAATAGTCTGCAGTGTTCCTAACTTTCATGACCCTCAGTTACTTTTTCTGTTAATGGGTTTATAACAATGCCTGCCCAACTACTTGGGTTTATGAAGACTAAAGAAATTATGTATATTAAGCCCGCACTGCGGCTCACTAGGCTAATCCTCCGCCTTGCGGCACCGGCACACCGGGTTCTAGTCCCAGTCGGGGCGCCGGATTCTGTCCCGGTTGCCCCTCTTCCAGGCCAGCTCTCTGCTGTGGCCAGGGAGTGCAGTGGAGGATGGCCCAGGTGCTTGGGCCCTGCACCCCATGGGAGACCAGGAAAAGCACCTGGCCTGGCTCCTGCCATCGGATCAGCGCGGTGCGCCGGCCACAGTGCGCTGGCCGCGGCGGCCATTGGAGGGTGAACCAACGGCAAAGGAAGACCTTTCTCTCTGTCTCTCTCTCTCACTGTCCACTCTGCCTGTCAAAAAAAAAAAATTATTGTTAATCATTTTTTTCCTAGAGAAAACTTAAAATAATTTGCGGTTTTATAAATATTCATGGAGCAATGGTGAAGCAGAGTTCAAATGAAGGGGAGAAGAGGGAAAGGAAAAAAACCTGTGGACAGAGATGGGGGCTGGGGTTCTGTTGTCTGTGATTAGGCCAGCTTCATTCCCCAGGGTCCAAAAGTAAGTGATGGGTGGTATATTCTGGAATAATTCTTCATGTTACAATGGTTGACAAGAAAGAAAAAAGACTTTGATCTCAGAACTAGTTATCTTTAAGTTCTGATAGTGGGAAACCAAAAATAGGTGTAAGGGGATTTACTTGTGAAAAAGGAGGAAGGCAGTTGGTTCCTATAGTTAATAAGGCTAGAGTAAATCCTTCCCAGATTAGTAGACACATTAAGGATATTTTATCAAAAAATGCTGCCACACCAACCCCATGTTCCCTTCTTTTGCACTAGTTGTATCTAAAAAGTCTTTTTCAACAGATTAGCCAGATGTGAGAGTTGTTGCCTGGTTGCCTTTCAGACTTTCAGGTAAAGGATCCTAAGGGAGCATGGGCACTGCTGCTTGTCCAGCCACTCACGTCATGTGTTTCTTTAAACATTACTTGGCTTGCCAGAAAACCAGAGAGATGGACTTAATATAACTCCCAGTGTTATTTTTCTTTCCAGGAAGGAGAACAGTTTGTGAAGAAGATTGGTGGTATATTTGCCTTCAAGGTGAAGGATGGCCCTGGAGGTAAAGAAGCCACCTGGGTGGTAGATGTGAAGAATGGCAAAGGATCAGTGCTTCCCAACTCAGGTGAGTGTAGGCAACTTCACTATGGAGCACTGACAGGTTCTCAAAGGCCTTGTCCAGAGTAAGGTTCCATCAGTCTGCCCTGGTTTCCCTAGAGGGCCAGCTTTAGAGACACAGGACTTGTTAAATAGCCCACGAGTCCCTGGGAGCAGGAATGGGTCAAAGCTGCCTCCTTCCAACATAGGGAAGCCATCGCAGAGCTGATCCGAGGCCTTGGAATTAGACAAACGCAGGAAGGCATTCTGGCCCTGACATTCTGATCTTGGACCAGTTATTTCACTTCTCTGAGCTGGTTTTCTGTGGGCATAACAAATGGTATTTATTCCGTGAGGTTGGTGTGGGGATGAAGTAGAGCACATGGTCCAGTGTGTGGTTTTGTGACCCCAGAAGACCTGTTTCTACTCACTGTTGCCCCTTGCTCTCTTTCAGATCTTTCTTGAACCCACTCATCAGCTTTTGACCTCATTGCCATGCCCAAATCTTGTCCAGATCACCAATGACTGCCACCTTGCAAAATGTGATCAATTCCTAGCCTTCCTGATGTAACACTTGGAGGTTTTCTTCTTACCTACCAACTGCTCCTTCCTGGCCTCTCTTGCCAGTCCCTCCTCATCTCCAAAGTTCTAAATGTTGGAGTGTTCCCAGGGTCAGACATCTCTATGTGCATTCACTGCCTGAGGATCTCATCTGGTCTCATGCTTTAAAAATAGTCTGTGGGGCTGGCGCTGTGGTGTAGCTGGTTAAGCCACTGTCTGCAGTGCCAGCATCCCATATGGGTGCCGGTTTGAGTCCTGGCTGCACCACTTGCAATACAGCTGCCTGCTAGTATGCCTGGAAACTAGAGAATGGCCCAAGTGCTTGGACCTCTGCACCGATGTGGGAAACTGGATTGAAACTCTTGGCTTTTGCCTGGCCTAGCTTTGGCCATTGTAGCCATTTGGAAAGTGAACCAGCGGATGGAAGATCTCTCTCTCTGTAACTCTGCCTTTCAGATAAATAAAATCTTTTTTTTTTTTTTTTTTTTTTTTTTTAAAAGTAGTCTCTGCACTACTGAGTCCCAGATTTCTGGACACAGCCACTGAACGCCAAGTATATTGGAATTTAATTGATGAGTTTGCTTTGACACTGAAGATGTGTTGCAAAGCTAATGTGGGAGACTGAACTCTTTTTTTTTTTTTTTTTTTTAAGATTTATATATTTATTTCAAAGAGGAGAAAGAGAGAATAAGAGAGATATCTTCCATGCACTGATTCATTCCCCAGATGGCCACATGGCCAGGGCTGAGCCAGGTGGAGGCCAGGAGCTTCATCGAGATCTCCCACATGGGTGGCAGGGCCCAAATGCTTGGGCCATCTTCTGCTGCTTTCCCAGACTATCAGCAGGAATGTGAAGCAGCCAGGAAACAAATCGGAGTCCTTATGGGATGTTGGTGTTGCAGGCAGCAGCTTACCTGTTACCCCACAGTGCCAGCCCCCAGGACTGAACTGTTGGTCCCCTCCTCGGCCCCCCGTAAGCACATACTCCTCCCGTTCTCTCCCGCTTCTCAGTGAATCGCTCCCATGTTCTTCAGGCCAGAAACTTTGAAGTCATCCTTGGCCCCCTTTTTTCACACACCGCCATCTAATGCATTGGCAAATCCTGGCCTCCTCCACTCCCACCACCTGGTCGAAGCATCAGCATTTTCTACCTGATCTCCCTCCTGTGTCTTTGCCCTCACCAGGTTCTTCACACACAGGCCCGAGCCATGATTTCAAAACTTAGATTGTGACCTCCCTCAGCTCAGGACCATCTGGTGGCTTTCAGTCCACTCTGAGTAAAAGCAGATCTCGCAGTGATAGTGCATGGCCTGGGCCAGCTTCTGGTCTGGTGATGCCTCCCCTCACTGAACGTCAGCAACACTAGCCTCTGTGCTGCTGCTTGAATATGCGATGGTCTTGGTGTGGGGGCTTTCTACTGTGTGCCTCTGCTTGGAATCATCTTCCCCCAGAAGTCTTCCTGGTTTGCTTCCACATTTCCTTTGAATCTTTGCCCAAGTGTCACCTTGTCACCTTCTCATTGAAGCTTTCCAAAACCACCCTGTAGAAATCACACCTCTACAACCATTCCCTATTGTTTTCTGCCTTATTTTTCTCCATAGCATTTCTCTCCCTCTGATGTGCTATGTGGTATTTAAGTCATTTGTTTGCTTGTTGATCATCTCCCCACTCTGTGAAGGCAGAGCTTTTTGCCTGGTAGGTACACGGCTGCATTCCCAGTGCCTATAGTACGGACATGTGATAGGCTTTTAAAAATGAACAGCAGATAGTGCCGGCGCTGTGGCGTAGCGGGTAAAGCCACCGCCTGCAGTGCCGGCATCCCATATGGATGCTGGTTCGAGACCAGGCTGCTCCACTTCCAATCCAGCTTTCTGCTATGGCCTGGGAAAGCAGTAGATGGCCCAAGTGCTTGGACCCCTGCACCCATGTGGTAGACTGGGAAGAAGCTCCTCGTTCCTGGCTTCAGATCGGCACAGCCCCGGCCATTGTGTACAATTGGGGAGTGCCCTCTCTGTGTAACTCTTTCAAATAAATAAAAAAATAAATCTTTAAAAAAAATGAACAGCAGAATGAAAGAATGGCAGCTGGTAAGCATTCAGTAAGTGGAAGCTGCTTTGCACTGTCCCTGATTCTTGTTGGAGAGAGCCTGGTGTGATTTAGAAACAAGATGATTCAGGACCAGCTTTCTGCAGGGCTTAAAGGCCATGACTCGTTCTTTTGGTTATTTGATCAGTCCAGTAAACCTTTGTAAGTAGAACAGTGAAAGTCAGAGCTGTACATTAGAGGATGAAGCTGAAGCTGGTGCACTAGGCCTCATGCATTGGGAAGGGAGCAGTCAGGGCAGAGAGGAGCTCAGAGGATAGCTGTTGCTGCTGTCTTAAGTGAGCAGATGGGGGCTAGCAGTGGGAAGAGCGGGTGCTGTTCAAAGGCAGGTGCCGGGGGATTTGAGGTGCCGTTGATGGGACCTGGAAGCCGTGGAGGAGGAGGGGTCTGTCACAGATGGCAGAGCTGCCTTGTTGCTGTGTTACGGAGGGCGCTCTGGAGGCACTGGGAGGGCGAGTCTCAGCGTGGACTCTGTCTGACTGTGAAACATGCAGTTTGGTAGAACTCCTGGAAGACAGTGTAGAGCTTGGAGGCAGGAGACAAAGTCAGGGGCCCTGCCCTGTTCACTGCTGAGTGAGGACTTACTGAGAGGCTAGTGATGGACAAGCTGAGCACTGATAAGGGCAGCCATCTGCTGTGGGCAGCATGGTTTGTAGTGGAAAGTTCCTACCCTCAAAATGAGTGGGCAGAAAAATGACTATGTTTGCATTCTGTGAGTTGCCTCTAATTTAAGGTGGCATGGAAGGAAAAGCTAAAGGCTTTATCTGGATTCTAGCTTTTGGAAATAGAAAGAATTTTGGGAAGTAAATACAGTAGGACCAGCTTTTTTAATGTCTAAGCTTAATAGTTGCTTAGTATTAAATTCTGACTTGGCTTAACAGACAACTGTTAAGGTGATTGTTTAAAAAACTTCTTTTCCACCTGTTTCGTTGTATAAATCTATTGGATGGTTTCAGGAAAGCCTTGCTCCCTGTAGAGGCTCACTTCCCCATACACTGGTGTCCCTTCCCAGACCTGAAGGGATCCTACCCTGGGACAGGGTAATTTCTGTTGAAACCGACACTGACTGGCAGCCAGAGCAGTGTCGGAATGTGCACTTACCCAGTAAAAGCCACCACTGGAAATTGCCAGCTCCTTTTACATCAACCAACAAATGACCATTTGTTAGAGATTTAGCTATGTTAAAGTATTGATATCCTGTCCTAGTTTGAACTCGCATCTTAAGGAGAATTACTTTTGGCATATACATAGTATTACGAGGCTTACTTACTGGTAACAAAGTAAACTTAAACATTTTCATTTGCATGTATTCTAAGAGTTTAGTAGTGATTATAGAGATGATTATATATGATTATATTACTTTTAGGTTTTATGCATTTTACATAATTTTTTAAAAGATTTGTTGGGGCTGGCACTATGACATAGCGGGTGAAGCCACTGCCTGTGGTGCTGGCATCCCATATGGGCACTGGTTTGGGACTTGGCTGCTCCACTTCCAATCCAGCTCTCTGCTGTGGCCAGGGAGAGCAGTACAAGATGGCCCAAATGCTTGGGCCCTTACACCCGTGTGGGAGACCTGGGGGAAGCTCCTGGCTTCAGATTGGCACAGCTCCAGCCATTGTGGCCATTTGGGGAGTGAACTAGTGGATGGAAGATTTTCTCTCTCTCTCTCTCTGCTGCTGCCTCTGCCTCTCTGTTACTCTTCCTTTCAAATAAATAAATAAATCTTGAAAAAAAAAAAAAAGATTTGTTTGTTTATTTGAAAGGCAGAGTGACAGAGAGGGCGAGACACATCTTCCATCCACTAGTTCACTTCCAAAATGTCTTCAACAGCCAGGGCTAAGCCAAATCAAAGCCAGGAGCTGGAAACACCATCCAGATATCCTCCATGGGTGGCAGGAACCCAAGTTCTTGGGCCGTCATTTGCTGCTTCCCAGGTAGATTAGCGGGGAACTGGATAGGAAGCACAGAATAGCTGGGGTTTGATCCTGTAGGAGATGTGTGTATCGTGAGAGATGGCTTCACCTCCTGTGCCACAACACCTGCCACTGTGAGCACTTTCATACATGTCTTTTTGTGTACATGAGTCCTCATTTCCACTGGACATATACCCAGGGGTGGAAATGCTAGGTCTTAAAATATAGTGTTAGTAAGATCAAGTGTCTGGTAATAATAATATAGAATTATAAAGGAGAGAATGTTCCAACGTGAGAAGCAGACTCATAGAATGACAATCACTTTAAATAGCACTCTGACCTCAGAATCTGCCCTTAAGGCATTCTGCTCTTGCCGAAAAGCCCATGAGAGCATTTCAGACATGGAAAGCCAAGACACTGTGGCAAAAAAAAATTTCCTACATGAAGGATCTCTGTGAGTGAGACCTCAGTGGAGAGAAGTGGTCATCAAAGAAAGATGCACTTTTCTCTGAAGGAAGGAGAGAACTTCCACTTTACTTACTGCCTTATCTAAATACTGATGGAGATTGTGGATTCAAAAGGCTTCCATAGCCTTGGCAGCTCATGTCAAGAGCCTCTGGTAATCACTGAAGTCATACATAAGAGTGTTATTTGTTACATTAACAACAGGAGTCACTGTGTACTAACTCCTCATATAGGACCTCTGCCTTTAATGAGTTGTATTATAAGAATTAACTGCAAAATTTCTTCCAAGCTTTTGTTTTGTGTGTGTGTGTGTGTGCACAAATTGTTGAAATCTTCACTTATTATAGAGTTGGTCTTCTGTGTATAAAGTTAATTGAAAATGAATCTTAATGGAGAATGGGACAGGGAATAGGAGAAGGAGGAGGGGTTGGGGTGGGAGTGGGGGTGGGAGGGCAGATATGGGGGAAAAATCACTATATTCCTAAAGTTGTACTTAGGAAATTTGTACTCATTAAATAAAAAGTTTCTTTGGGGAATAGAAAGTATAAGCCAAATAGGTTTTAATGTAGGTGTACTGTTTTGTATTTCCTTCCATATTATATTATGGAGAGTTTCAATTGCTCTGTTTTTGTTTGTGTATTTTTTGAGAGGTAGAGAGAGATAGATCAAGTGCTGCCATCTACTGTCCCCCTCCCCACAACCCCCAGTGCCTGCAGTGGCTGAAGCTTACCTGGGCCAAAGCCAGGAGCCAGGAACTTCCAGGTCTCTCATGTTGAACCATCATTGCTGCATCCCCAGGTCTCTGTTATCAGGAGACTTGAGTCTGGAGTGTGTTCTGATATGGGATACAGTCCTAACTAGGATCGTCACTGGTAGGCTGAATGCCTACCTTGCTCCTATACACTATGTTGTTGTTTTTTTTTTTTTCCTGAGATTTTATTTATTTGAAAGCAGAGTTACAGAGTAAAAGAAAGACACACACACACACACACACACAGAGGGATCTTCCATCCACTGGTTCACTCCCCAAATGGCCTCAATGACTAGGGGCTGGGCTAGGCTGAAGTCAGCAGCCAGGAGCTTCTTCCAGGTCTCCCACATGGGTGCAGGGGCCCAAGCACTTGGGCCATCCTCCGCTGCATTCCCAGGCCATTAGCAGGGATCTGGATTGGAAGTGGAACAGCCAGGACTTGAACCTGTATTCATATGGGATGCCAGCACTGTAGGCCAGGGCTTTAACCTGCTGCGCCAAAGCACCAGCCTCTGTACTATGTTTTTGACAGTCTTTTGTACTGTCAATTTTTTTCTTTTATAAAGTCAGATTCCTTGAGGTATAATTTATTTGCTGTACAATCTACTCTTTTTAGGTGAATAATTATGTGAATTTAAACAACTGCAAACAATGATGTAACCACTATCAAAAATCAACATAGCAGAGTATTTTCCAGCTTCCAAAGAGTGTTCTCATGTCTCCGTGTAGTTGACCCCTCTCCCACCCTCAGACACTAGTAACTACCAACTCCGTCTCTGTCGCTGTAGTCCCTGCCACCACCTTTCCCCCAGAGTGTTGCACAGATGGAATCGTCCAGTGCGCAGGTTTTGAGCCTACTTCTTTCAAGAGGTCATCAGCAATTTGTTCTTTCTGCTGCTGAGTTAGGGGAAGTTCGTGCCTTTGCCAGTTGATGCACATTTGATTTTTTTTCCGCTTTTGGCAGTCACGGCTAAAGCCATGATCAACATTCACATACAGGTTTTTGTGTGAACATATGTTTTCATTTTTCTTGGGTAAATACCTAAGGGTGGAATTACTAGTTCATAGAGTGTGTGTACTTGTAGGTTTAGCTTTCTGCAGAGCTTTCAGACTTTCCCATAGAGCCTGGACCATTTTACTCTAATATTTTTGCTGTATCAGGTTGACCTTTTAGTTACTCCGTGTTCTTGCTACTCTGATTATTGGCTTTTTAAAAATTCCAGCCATCCATACTAGTAGTTATGTGGCGTCTCGTCATGGCTGTAATGTGCATTTTCCAGTCACTAGTGACGTTAAGTGCCGTTGCATGTGTGCTGTTGACCATTTGGAGGACCTCTTTTGTACAGTGTTCATTTTCATGTTGGATCACTTCAATCTTTTCTGTGTGGTAGGAGTCCTTTCTGTATTCTGGATACAAGTTCTTTGTCAGGTACATGGGATTGCAAATACCTTCTCCCCCTTACCTGACCCTGTTTTGAAAATAGTTTCATTGCAAATCAACTTATCACAGATTTAGTGGCTTAAAACAGTGCTCACATTTATTGCTTCCCAGTTCCTAGCCAAGCTGGGTCCTCTGCACAGGGTCACACAAAGCTGGGCTCTCAACCAGGGACTGGGCCAGGTAGGGCTGTGTCCAAGCTCACATTTCAGGTTGCGGTGCGGAGAACGATGGCCTTGGTGTCTTGCCGGCTGTGAGCCAGAGTTGCCGGCAGCTCCTAAGGAACCATGGCAGTGTCTGTAGAAGTTCGCGGCGTAGCAGCTAGTTTGTTCAAAGGCAGTGGGAGAGTGGGCCTGAGTCTTAGACAAGGCAGTGAAGTCACAGGGATGACATCTCATCACCTTTGCCAGTCACACCAGAGGGAGGGGATTGTGGGAAGGTGTGAACACCAGGACGCAAGGGTGTGGGGGTCCATGTGCAGCCTGCGAGTCACAAAGAGGTGTCCCAGTGTACAGATGTTTTCCCTGTACCTGGTAATTAAATCCTGTTTTTAAGCAAAAATGGCATCATACTGACAGTTTATTTTGTAACTGGCTTATATAATGATGTTATAAACACCATAATTTGAACATTTTTTCAGGTCAGTAAGTCTAGGTACACATCATCTTTTTTTTTTTTTTTTTTTAAGATTTATTTATTTATTTGAAAGAGTTACACACAAAGAGGAGAGGCAGAGAGAGAGATCTGCTGGTTCACTTTCCAGGTGGCCACAACGGCAGGAGCTGTGCTGATTCAAAGCCAGGAGCTTCTTCTGGGTCTCCCACACAGGTGCAGGGGCCCAAGGACTTGGGCCATCTTCTACTGGTTTCCAGGCCATAGCAGAGAGCTGGATTGGAAGTGGAGCAGCTGGGACTTGAACCGGCGCCCATATGGCATGCCACCACTTTAGGCAGCTGCCTTACCCACTACGCCACAGCGCCAGCCCCATCATCTTTATAATGGCTGTGATGTATCCCATTACATGAATATACCATAACATATTTAATCAGTTCCCTCTTGTTAAATATTGAGGCTGCTGATGGTTTTTGCAGTTTGCCTGGTGTGCATCTCCCAACACTGCTTCAGGACTGGGTGAGTCTGTTGCTGTCAGTGGCTCTTGATTAAAACGTGTGTGAAACTGACTGCTCTCCTTTTCTCTCGCCTTCTCCACGCTCTCTGTTTTAGATAAGAAGGCTGACTGCACGATCACCATGGCTGACTCGGACTTACTGGCCTTAATGACTGGTAAAATGAACCCTCAGTCGGTAAGTGAGGGAGCTCACCGTCTCCTGCCTCCTACCCAGATGTGCAGAGTGCTCAGCCCCACGCAACTCTGTTCCCCAGATGTTCACAAATGACAGATGTCTGAGGAGCAAGCTTCGTGCTAGATGCTGTCCTGTATGCCAGGAGAGTCCAGATGGAAAAGAAATGGCTCCTATGCTCAGGGTGTCTAGTTTGGTAGAAGGTGGATCTATAAAAGATATGCAGGTTTCCAAAATGCTCATGAAAAAATGGAATTAAAAGCTAATGTGAATAGTCCATGATCTTTTTGAAGCCCTGTTACAAGGATCCAAAGTGCCACACCTGGCTTGTGGTTAGGGGAGGGTAGGGGGAAGCAGCCACATGTCCCTGGGCTGTCAAGAAAAGCCTCACAGAAGAGGCAACGCATGCGTGGGGCCCCAGGCTGACCGAGGGTTAGCCAGCACCTGTGCGTAGATGAGGAGCGGTCTGAACAAAGGCGCTGTGACCTCACACAGTGTGTGTCTTTGCCCACGCTCTTCTCCCCTGAGCTGTCCTTCCCGGACCAGCTGCCAAGAGGATAGTGCTGTGGACTTCCTTTCACGTGGCCGAGGGGCAGCACCAGCCCTCTCCTGAGCTGAGCGCTTGCCTGGTACAGTGGTCATGGTGTGCCTGCCTCTTCCTGTTAGATCAGGCCCCAGAGGAAGACCGCGGATTATTAGTTTTGTGTACGCAGAACTCAGCACAGTGTTAGACGCTTTTAGGTTTTCAGTGAACACTTGTTGGATTAAATTTTATTTGCCCAGAATTTATTGATACCTTGTGTGGATTTTCCTGGTCCCTAAATTGTCAAGGTTATTCTTAAACTCTGTAGCTGAACAGACTTGATATACAGAGCTTTCCATTACCAAAAAAGAAACTAAGGTATTTCTTTCCATTGTAACTTCACTGTTTTGTTGCCTCAGCCTGGCTCACAAGTCTGGGTCTTGTGCTTGTTATTCCCTCATGATTTGTGAGACTGGACAGAACACTTGACCCTGATAGCCACTTGTGGTCCTTTTAAAGATACTTTGTCTAAGCAAGTCTGCCTGCGTCAGCCAGTGCCGTCCTGGTCCTGAGTGAGGTCTGCATCTGTGATGCTTCAGCTGGGCCCACGCTGTTGGCATTGACGTTTCCCCCACTGGGCCTGCTCCAGAAATCTGCACGGAACAGAGGCCCCCAGTGCAGGCATTGCCATCGCCCCCCTGCTGCTCTGCTCCCTGTCCCGCTGCACACACAGTGCATGGCTCCAGCAGGGTGTTCAGACTTCACATGTCCACACATCTCTGCTGCCCTCCTTGCTTTACTCTGTGTTCTGCCCGTTCTCCTCCAGTACCTGTTAGCACCCAAAGGAATTAAAGATAAAAGTGGCAGATTTTCTGTTAACATGCTAATGCTCTTCCCTGTCACTCAGTAGAGGATTTGACTGGACATCATTAAATGCAATGGAAATTCTAATTTCAGTCTTGGGCAGTAGAGCAGTGTGCTCTCCACCAGGAAGCCCACTGAAGAGCACTGACGGGCCAGATTAAAGTGGCCCCTACGTTTGAATCCTCGAGGGCAGCATTTCATGTAGTCTCTATTGTTAGTAGATAGCAGATAAATTTCTCTTTTAACTTAGAAAAGAGAAAGAAGTTTGACTGCTGGTCCATATTTTTGAGTGACATATGTTAAATATATTGTGTTCTGAAACATCTGACATTTACGTCATCAGACAGAAGGCTTTGTGCCATACAGAAAGGAAATACTTAGTTTGTCCAGACGGAGGAGGGGCAGGGAGAGGATTTCTTCATGCTCACCAGGAGGTGCAGGAACAGCAGCTCTGTGCCTTCCCTGGACGGTGTAACGAGCTCCTGACTCCCTCGTGCACTTGTTAAAGAGCCGGTCCTCCCAAACCTGGCCCATCTGGCCTTCCTGACTGTCAGAATTTAGTTGAAAGACTGAGGTCATGGCACAAAGACATGCTGTGTTCCCAAGTTTGCTATTTCTCTTAAAATTTTCCCCAGATTTTGTTACATGATAAATTTAGCAAACATCATGTGATCTAATCCCATGCAGTTGTTAAATGGAATAAATTGTGGTTCTGCACTTTGGATTGGTTTGATTTTTTTTTTTTAACTGAGCCAAAAAGTAATACTACAGCCTGTATCGTGTAGACCGGGGGTGGGGGGGGGGACCAACAAGGTGGTAGTTCATTCACATTGTGTTGAGTCCCAAGGGTTCCCAAGTGAGTTTTGTGTGCTTTTTCTCCTAGAAGCCTACTGAAAACACAGTTCATTTTTCCACTTCACTTGTAATGTTCTTAGACAAAACCGAGGTAGCATGCCCCCACCTGCCCAATGCGTGGGGAGTGCAGCAGCTCTGAGGAGGGCAGGTGAAGACAGGGCCGTTCTCTGAGAGGAGTGTGGGCAGGGTCTCCTTTCGGCCGCTCCGGGGAAGCGTGGCTGCTGCACGGCCTCCTTGGGAGGAACCTGGTTCCGAATCTCCCCAGAAAGCCGGGCTGCAGACCTGGGTGAATCAGTCGTCTCAGGGCTGAGTAGTCCAGAAACACCAGCAATCTCCAAAGCCCCGAGTAACAAATTCTCTTTCTTTTTCTGCAGGCCTTCTTTCAAGGCAAATTGAAAATCACCGGCAACATGGGTCTGGCTATGAAGTTACAAAACCTTCAGCTTCAGCCAGGCAAGGCCAAGCTCTGAAGAGCTCCCTTTGGCTGCTTCTGAAAATCAAGATGAGATTTGTAGATGTGTATCGATGTATTTTCATCACCAGAACTTACACTGAAACTACACATGGGCAAATAGTGCGAAATCGATTTGTTTCTAAATGGGTGTGACCAATCTTGTCTCTCAGCACGGGGTCGCTAGAGCCCAGTGGGTACTGCTGTGCTGAAATGCAAACAACTGTGCGTTACAAAGTTAGCTGGGTGATTATGATTCGAGGTAAAACTGTTGCAGAATAAAATTAGGAGCAGCAAGAATCCAAAAACTATGTAAACAGAACTCTTATTTTGCTTGAAAATTATATTTAAGGATTATCCTGCTGAAGATTCCATGTAAAAGGTTTTTATAGAAAGAACTAGAGAAGACACAATATGAGTAACTGGACAGTAGCTGGTGTCTTGCACTTAATGACCTCAATGAACTTCTCATTGATAGTTCTTAAAATCCTGTACTGGGATTAAAAAATATTTAAATTTTGCATCATGCTAGCAGAAACTGTATTTTGTTTCTGAATCAAAATGAAGAAACATAATCAGAGTTTGTGGGAAAAATCTAGCTGAGCACAGACCTGTTTTTAAATAAAAATATTTTAAAATGGGGTTCCTTCCTGAAAAATCAGTGTATTAGCATCATAAATGCTATTGTTAAAAGGAAGAGAACAAATAATGTTTGCTTTGACATGCACAGTCTTCAAATTATATCTCATTAATTTAACAATTTATAAAGCTCTCAGTCCTTTGTTAAAATTCTCCTTTTTCACTTAGTTTAGTTTAAATAATTATCCATGTTTATCTCTTTTCCTAGCTTTTCTAATGCTAATGTTATTTCTTATACTTAATGAGACACAGGGTAAAATAATGCTTTTGGAAGAACGTTTGATAGAAAATTAAAATCGCTCTTCCTCTTCCGCTTTGCTTGTGTTGTATGTGTTTCCTTTTTGCACAGGGTTTCTTAGACGAGGGAGAGGAATGGGAGACACTGGGGATTTGCAGGCTCAGTGCTCTCTGGACGTCACCCTCTGATTGCCTTGACGCAGTCACTGGTGTGTGACTGGGGAGGCGGTGCGGCATGTTGGGAAGGGGACGTGGCTTCTCAGGTGCGTGTGTGCCGTGATGTCTGCAGTGTTATGTCCTGGCTTTGGGGTCTCTTTCACTTGTTCGTTCACATAACAGGTATTTTTTGAGCACCTGCAGTATCCTGGGAAGTCTACCGAAGGTCCCGGGCAAGGCACCGGTGGGCTCTTCCCCCAGCGTGTTCACAGTCTGATGGGAGAGAGAGACAGTCAGTCAGAGGGATGATCGGTGAGGACAGGCCATGTAGTGCCCTGCAGGAAACGGCCAGGCTGCCGGAATGGGGGGTCCCAGGAAGGGCATTGGACACAGCAGTGAAAGGTAGGGAAGGAGCAAGCCAGGCAAACGCATTGCCCAGAAGGGTGGGGGAGATTTGGCTTGTTCCAGAGACTGTCCTGGCCAGTGAGGGTGGAATGTGGCGAGCTGTGGGGTGGGTCTGCAGGAGCTGGTTACCCTGGGGTTCACTCACGTGGTAAGGCATTTGTGTTTCCTGCTTGGTGCAGTGGGCGCAGGGAAGGGCAGGTGCCACGTGAGTATTTCTCACTCGAGCTGTGTATTCCTGTCCCCGTCACATCCTCCGTCTAGAGCCCAGGTGCCCTGATAGCCACCCTGGGCTGTCGTGTCCATCCTGCCACAGGAAAGGGTAACGTGCACCATCCCTTCAGCTTCCGCCCGGAAGTGACGTGGATCACTTCTCCCATTTCGTTGTCCCCAGAGGGTCACATGCCCCCACCAAATTTCAGAAACCTACCGTATACTGGCAGAACAAGTGGAACTGGAATATTTGTGCATGGGACCCATGGCCACCACAGCCAGCCTCTCAGCAGGAGAATAAAGCGATTTCAGCGACCCCTATAGCTGCTGTGTGGAGAAAGTGCTGGGGGCGGAGGGCCAGGTGCCACATGGGTCCTGGACTAGGGTGTGTGTCAGGAGTGGGGGTCGCCCTCGGCCAGGTGACGGAAGTTGGCGCCTGGGTGTAGGGGCAAGGATGGCTCCAGTGACTGCCAGGTGCAGGGCGGGTCATGACGAGTGACGACGGGATGAGTGGCTTTCAGTGGGAATGGCTGGAATGAGCTCCACTTTGGAATTTTAACTTGGAAATGCCTGACAGGCTTCCAAATGGAGACACTAAGGAGGCAGTTGGAGCTACAAGGCTGGGGCTCAGAGGTGAGGCCAGCTTGGACGTCCTGTGAATGGTATTCAAAGCTACAGGCATGGCTGATAGTGCCTGGGGTGGGAAAGGAGAGTTGGGGTAAGTCATGAGGAACGTCAGCTTTTGAGAGTTCAGGTAGACAAGGACGAAGGACTCGGGACTCTGGGAAGAGAGGACAGCCCCAAGGTGGGAATGGTCAGCGGTGTCACTTGACTTTGTTGAGTGACGTCTGAGAAGTCCACTGGATCACATTTAGCAGCTCGGATGTCACTGGTGACCACTACAGAGTCAACTGCAGTGGATGGCAGATAAAAGCAGGATTGGAGTTGGCATCATAAGGTTGTACGAACGATAGAGAAGTTCCATTTGATAGTGAAAGGCTCTGTTTCCAAGTGATAATACAGAGCAAGCCCGTCAGCTAGTGATTGCAGTGCCAAGCCGGGTCACCTCGCACTGTGCCCGCCCTCACCCTTCTCTCCCCACCCACCGCCTTATCCTCTTGGCAAATTCCTCTTTATCTTCAAGACCAGCTCAGGTGCCTTTGTGTGAAGGAAACGGTCCCTCCTTGCCACAAAATAGAGCTAACCGTTCCTTGTAGGACTTTGATTCTATCTCCTGCAGAACACTGCGCTCTGTGAGGGCAGGGGCTTGCGCCTCATGCATGTGTCTCATGACAGCCCCAGCCCATAGTCTCGGCTTAGTGTTGAATGAATGCATGCGAGAAGCAGAGGAACAGTTTTCCATTTCTGAGGATGCACGCGCTGCCTTCTCCAGTGCAAAGATCCTCTGTTGCTGTGCGGATGAAAGAAAGCATTAACAACAGCCCCCTTAGCCTGACTCTGGGCTTTGAAAATGTTTGCGGCTTTTCATAATGGAGTTTCAGTTTCAGAGTGAAGCAGCCAAAGTAGTAAGAAACATCCATTTATTAGTAGTTTTGTTTCTAAAAACAAAGTGGCAGGGCCGGCGCTGTGGCTTAGCGGGTTAAAGCAGTGCTGGCAACCTTTATGGGTACGGTTCGAGTCTGGCTGCTCCCCTTCTCATTCAGCTCCCTGCTATGGCCTGGGAAAGCAGTGGAAGATTGTAGGAGTCCCGGAAGAAGCTCCTGGCTCCTGGCTTCAGATCGGCGCAGCTCTGGCTGTTGTGGCCATCTGGGGAATGATCCAGTGGATGGAAGACTCTCTCTCTCTCTGTCTCTCTCCTCTCTCCAACTCTGCTTTTCAAATAAATAAGTCTTTTTTTTTTTTTTAAAGTGGCCTTGTAGGTCCTTGTTTTGCTGTACTTGTCCACATGGATTCACACTCAGACTTTGTGATCCTTGTTGAATATGAGAAGGAATGATATGGAAAGGGTGAAGAAAAAGTCGTGTGTTGGGGCCCGCGCTGTGACACAGAGGGTAAAGATGGACCAAGTCCTTGGACTTCTGTGCACATGTGGGAGACCCAGAAGAGGCTCCCGGCTCCTGGCTCCTGGCTTCAGATCAGCTCAACTCTGGCCTAGTGGGCATCTGGGGAGTGAACCAATGAATGGAAGGCCTCTCTCTCTCTTTCTCTCTCCTCTCTCCTCTCACTCACTCACTCATTCTCTCTGCTTCTGTCTCTGTCTCTCTGTTACTCTGCCTTTTTCAAATAAACAAATGAATAAATCTTAAAAAAAAGTTATGTGTGGGGAAGTCCCCGAGGTCCAATCAGAAGTCTCAGATCAAGATGACTCGGGCCCTGTCTGTGCCTCCTGGAATCCAAGGCATTGGTCTAGTCCATTTTGTGCTGTTGCTATAACAAAGGGCTCAAGGCTGGGCACTTTACAAGGAAAGAGGTTTATTTTGGCCCATGGTTTTGGAAGCTCTAGAGCATGGCACTGGCATTGGCATCTGGGGAGGCTCTCACGGAAGCCAGCATCCTGTGTTGGGAGCCATAGCATCACGGGAGGGGAGCACGCGTGAGATAAGGGAGACTGGAGGTCTCGTGTGGTATGAGAGGAGGCAGGGGACGCAGAAGAGCTTTATTGCCTGTCTGCACCTTCGCTCTGCTAGCAACCCTCTCCCACGGGAACTAACCCACCCTTGGGAACTGCAGTTGCCTTTTTTTTTTTAAGTAAACGTATTTATTTGAAAGGTGAAGTGAGAGAGGGAGCTCTTCCATCCATTGTTCATTCCCCAAAGTGCCTGCAACGGTTAGGAAGCTGGGCCAGGCCGAAGCCAGGAGCTTCATTCAAGCCTCCCACATGGGTGGCAGGGACCTAAGTACTTGGGCCATCTTCTGCTGCCTTCCCAGGGTGCACATTAACAGGAAGCTGGGTCTGAAGCAGACTGGGACTTCCCAGGCACTCTGATAAGGGGGTGTGGGCAGCAGAACCCCCAGACCCCACTTCAAGGTCCCATGTACTATGACACTGGGGACCAGTCTTCCAACACATGAACCTCTCTGTGGGGGAGAAGCCATTGTATTTGAGCCTCACCAGCCTTTAGTTTCTTTCTCTGCAAAAATGGGACATTTAATTTTTTGACAGTCATGTTCATTAGATGATAAATACCTTGAATGTGGAAATTCTGTTACCCATTTCTGTGTCTCTAGTGTTAATGCATTGCTCACTGGAGTAAGCAGGAATGACTTTTTTTTTAAGATTTATTCATTTATTTGAAAGAGTTACACAGAGAGAGAAGGAGAGGCAGAGAGAGAGAGAGAGGTCTTCCATTCGCTGGTTCACTCCCCAGATGGCTGCAATGGCCAGAGCTGCGCTGATTCTAAGCCAGGAGCTTCTTCCAGGTCTCCCATGTGGGTGCAGGGGCCCAAGGACTTGGACCATCTTCCACTGCTTTCTTTTCCAGGCCATAGCAGAGAGCTGGATAGAAAGTGGAACAGCCGGGTCTCAAACCAGCACCTGTATGGGATGCTGGCGCCCGCAGGTGGGGGATTAACCTATTGTGCCACAGCTCCAGCCCCCGACTGTTTCTTAATCAAATGAAAATAGTGATCACTAAAGTTCTTTTTAATTTTTAAAATACCCTGTAAATGGTTCAATCACATAGAAACATAAGCTCTTTGTATTTTTTCCATATAATTCACCTTAGGAAAAAAGTAGGAAATTAAATCTTACAATTAATAGCCTTATCTTCTGCAACTTTAGTAGTTTCAGAAAATAATACATTCAGAGCAGCCTGGCCTGGTGGGAAACTTTTGGGGCCCATCAGATGTAGCATTTGGACCTCACTGTGGCATTATTATTTTTTTTTTTTAAAGATTTGTTTATTTACTTGAGAGGCAGAATTATAGAGAGAGGGAGAGACAGAAAGGTCTTCCACCTGCTGGTTCACTCCCCAAATGGCCACAAGGGCTGGAGCTGCGCCGATCCAAAGCCAGGATGCAGGAGCTTCCTCTGGGTCTCTCACACAGGTGCAGAGGCCCAAACGCTTGGGCCATCTTCTACTGCTTTCCCAAGCTATAAACAGGAGCTGGATCGGAAGAGGAGAAGCCAGGACATGAACTGGAGCCCGACTGGGATGCCGGCGCTGCAGGGGGAGATTTAACCTGCTATGCCCCTTGCTGTGGCATTTAAACCGCTTTGGGACCTTGGCTGGTAACAAGTAAGAACTCCACGCTGGTTTCTCCCTCTGTCTTTAAAAAAAAAAAGAATTCTCAGCTTACTGGTTGCTGTGAGGCTGTGAAATACCAGGCACATAGTAGGTCCTCAAC